GTTGGCGGCGACGTTAGCCATCAGAATTGAAAAGTGAATCAGGGATTGTTTAAAACTTTTTTTTTTTAGTGGCAGCTTTTATCTTTTTTAAGAAGAATTTACTAGGACTGGAGGGAGGAACACATTTAAACTAACATCCAAGTGATGTTACATACACACAAAGACACACAATATACACGTAGTCCTGGGACAGTATTTTAAATCTGGGCCTGTGTTAAGATATCTTGGAGATATCTGCCGTTGTCTCACTGCTGATTTGGGAAAAGTACAACATAAGTGTGTATTTCTACATATCCATGCTTGTTGCAAATGTGTGTGCGCATGTGTGACACATACACTCTCAGGGGTTTGGCTCTAGTGCCAGTCAACAAAATAGTAGTAGGATGTAGGATATTGAAGCACTTATTTCATTTTGTTTCGCCAGCTGTGTGTTCCTGCCTTTATCTGTGTTAAGCAAAAATGAATCGTATGTCAAAGTACTGCACCTATGTGTGCGTGTGTGTGTTAGCAGTACTCAGCGGTGGCAGCATCTCTGAGTGGTGGAGTCCTGTTGGTGCCCGTGGTGTCAGCTGCAGCGTGGAGTAATGGTCCTGCATTGGCTCAGAGTAGCAGATTATTTGACAGCTGCACACACAGTTTGCAGACAGAGTTCCATGGATCATGTTCAAACCAGATTATTGTAGGTGGAGACGAAGGGCTCACTATGACCTGCTGCCTCCTGCAACCGCAGTTACGTGAAAGGATTACCGACATAGGATTTTGTGACAAGCATTTTCAGTGACATTGTCTGTTATATTCTAGTTAATTCTTTGGAGAGTGGGAATTAATGTTTTTTGGTTGTGTGATAATATGCATGTCTATTTTATTGACATCCCATGTTGCAGAGAATTTTTCTTCAGACTGTAGGCGGTATGAATTAGCCTCAGCACACTGCTTACACACTGCTTAATTGTATCTGATTAAAACAGATACAATAGCTAATTACAACAGGTTGCGTGCACAACATATGCCATTATGTAAACACTGTCTGAATTCCCAAAGGAAACAGTGGGAAAGACTTTCAGGATATACCATTATGTTCATGAGGTCGCATGTGTCTCTGTATTAGTTTTACGTCATAGCAATGCTGCTGTATAACCAATACCGTGCTCCTCATTAACCTGCTCGACAACATTGTGAAGTACTCATGCAATATACCAAGACAAGTCACTCATATGCAACATGCCTCAGTGTCCTCAACTATGGGATGGAGGCCTGATCTTCAGGTGCAGACATGATCATGAAAGATGCTTAATATTTAAAAAGAGAAGACAGTTCTATACCATGATATGTGTTACTATGTTTGTTGACAAAAACGTGTGAAATAGGTTTGACATAAAGATCTTTTGGGTCTACTTAATGCTCTTAAAAATAAGATATGCGTTCATGCGTTGATTATCATTGTTTTGACGAAAAAAACAAACAAAAAACAAGTTACAGGCAAGAAAAGGTTATGAAACCACCAACGAAATTTTGCTCTCTGAATGTTGGAACATGTTTCTTCTCAAGGACGCTACTCAGACACACACTCTTGCAATAATCAACGTATTGCAGTTCAGACTCTTCCAACTTGTCAGCCGCGGCAAACGCTGCGCAAATACGCCAAGACCACATAAAAACACCATGGAAAGAAGGGTGGAAGAAGTGAGAATAGAAAGGAAGGGGAAGAAAACGGCGGAAAGACAAGCTGGTTACTCTATCATCAGGTCCATTAAGAGCTTCCTGCAGTGGAAAGCTTGCATTCAGACTGGCAAAAGCATTGTGTCAAAAATTCAAACTCCTTGTTCTCTTAACTAAAACCGCTGCATTGCCGCAATGGGATGAAGATGTCACTGCTGAGGGATCTGGAAAAAAGTAATGTCGGGTCCTCAGCAAGGAGTCGACCCTGACCTTGGATTCTGCCATGATGCAATGCAGCAGCTTCCTATTTCATGATCCCGAGTGCTTCAGATTTGTTTTTGGTTCTTCTCGATGTTTCATCTCTGATCCTGAAGGCTTCCTTCGTCCTGACTGACTGACTGAAATTATGGTACTTACAACCTATTGATGAACCAAGTCTTGCATACCTAAAGGTGTGAATGGCTTTGCTCTGTGAGGGATGCCTCATGCTGTTAATGGTTGTAATGTTGTCCGAGGAGTGATCACAGGAGTGAGTAAAACGCACTTAATTGTGTCGTAGTCCACGTCCTCTGTTTAGAGATGTTGCAGTTTAACATCGATGGCTTCCTGGACAACACTGAAGTATCTCAACTACTGTTGGATGGATGACTGTCAAATGTCGTCCTGACATTAATAGTTACACGAGGATGAAACCTAATGACTTTACTGTCACTTTACGTCTCATGGAGCAAAACAGATGATACTCCCAGCTTGAGCTGTACTTTGTCTGTAGTACTGAATAGTAAATGTTAAAAATGCTAGCACACTGAGCTAAAATGTTGAACATACTAAACATCCATCCATCCATTATCCATCCATTATCTATACAACGCTTAATCCTCATTAGGGTCGAGGGGGGCTGGAGCCTATCCCAGCTGACTTAGGGTGAAGGCAGGGGACACCCTGGACAGGTCACCAGTCTATCACAGGGCTACACTTAGAGACAGACAAGCACACTCACATTCACACCTACAGACAATTTAGAATCACCAATTAACCTCAACATGTTTTTGGACTGTGTGGGAGGAAGCTGGAGAACCCGGAGATAACCCACGCTGCACGGGGAGAACATGCAAACTCCACACAGAAAGATTCTGGTGCCCCCACCGGGACGCGAACCGGCAACCTTCTTGCTGCGAGGCAACAGTGCTACCAACTGCGCCACCTTGCAGTACTAAACAGTATTACTAAACATTAGCATGATAGCATTGTTTGTCATTATGAACACGCTTCCATATTTAGTATTTAGCCCAAAGCACAGCTGTGCCTGAGTACAGCCCCAGAGAGCTGCCAGTATCGTTGCAGACTCTTACACATGTTGTGACACATGCAATTTCTCATATGAGTGCAGCCTCACTACAAATTTAAAAACTCTCCCTGCTTGTGACTCACTGATGCTTGTAAAACCACACTTCAGAGGTGTGACAGTTGTTCCTGCTCCGTGTCTGTAAGTGCTTTGAGGATCAAGCTAATTTTGTGATCAGCTGAAGATGTGTATATTCTGATAGTCCCTCCCACTGTTTCCTTTGGGACTTCACACAGTGTTCTTTCCACCACAGAGAAGAAGAGCAGTAACAAAAGGCAATGCTTTATGCATCCACATGTCCACGAGGGCCGGTGGAGGTGTTTGTGGTGTAAATTTTCTCATCCATTCAAGTCCCCATGTTGCCCAAAACTTGTGGCTGCTAAGGACTGTCCGTACTGCAAGTACGCCGACTGCACAAATGCTTGTTATGAGGAGCGGCTGTACGAGTAGACTCATCATTTATCACTAAAAAAACTGTAACTGGAGTTGTCACTGCCATACTTTCAAAGTGCTTTAATTTGTACAGGCTTTCTATCAACAATGCCCAGACACAGTGGGAAGTTCTACAGTCTCCAGAAATCATAAGCTCTATCTGCATACTCTGCTTGTCACGTCTCAGAAATCATTGGACTGACACGGTGCAGCCAGAAACATCCACTGGAGCCCTGAGTCGTTTTCTGGATTTGATATAAAGAACAATGCAACTGTGTGCAGCAGACTGATGTTGAGGCTATCTGTTGCATTATGAATAAAAGTGCATGCATGTCTGCCTTCACCTACAGTCTTCTTATTATGAGGACTTTATTTCAGTAATGTCCAGATTTCTTTCACTGCTTTGGCAGTAGCTGTCTGCTGTTAAAGCTTACTTCCTACTCCTGACTTGCACCTGCTCCAGTCAGCAGGAAGGGGGTTTCCTAACTGATCAAATCTACCTAACCTTCCTTCCTAACCCTTTACAGTCAAAATATAGTCGGCGGTGGTGTGCAGCTGTTTTGTTGTGCTTTTGCATTGTATTGCAAGTGTTTTTAATTATTACTGAGAAATCCATTTTTGAGTCCCTGTGTTTGTAGGCACACTTTGGCCTGCTGTGACATACATTTTAATGTTAAGCTCTGACCAGTGCCTCCCATTTGTCCAAAAACTGTCCATGCTAAGACTGATGAAGTGTATATCTGCACTCAGTATGCACAAGCATACTAAATGGACTGTTGAAAGCACTTACTCCTATGGCTCAAAAAACAAAACTAACACTACATTTCACCCCTGCATCCTTAGCCAACACGGCACCACATGCCTCACCAAGGGTGACAGAGAATAGAAGGCCGGTAGAGGCTTTCCTCGCAGAGAGAGGGAAGGGGCACAGGGGACAGGGAGTGGTGGTGGTGGGGAAGTCTTTCTTGATTAAGATTTATGTCTAATTTTTCCTTTGCCAGCAGCCGTTGCCTGCTGTTGGATAAGCTCCCTCGTGCAGCCTCTTCTTTGCTGTGTTGATAGAAGGGCTTCTAGTAAATGTGTTTCATGACAAGGCATTTCTCCTTTTGCCCCTTCATTTACTGCCTTTCACTCCGTGGACCATAGGCCAGGGGGACATGTTTGAAACAAATAGTGTACAAAGCGTATTTTTTTTTACACTTAAAGTCTATTTGTCTGTGGTATTGTGCGTTGCTACAGTGATTTTGCGTTGGGCTTTAAGCAGAAACAACGATGGACACAGATGGAGCTCTGCTAACATGCTGCTCACTTTACATCAGTTTTACACAGTTTTGCTACATAAAAACTATTTAAATGTTGGTGAATATCCTAAAATCTAGATTTTATGGTATCCATTACTATTGGTCACTGTTAGAGGCATATATATGTGTCAGAAAATGTAGTAAATAAATCATCATTCATTACAATTGACTGTATCTTGCCTTAAAATCCTGATGTTTTATCAATAGTTAGTTGCATAAAGTAATCAAAGACTCACTATGTGCATTTCTTTTCTTGTTTTCAGGACAAGCCCTCCCTATTGTTGCGCTGACCTGTATTCTCTACGGACTGGGGAAATGGTTAAATCAATTCAGTTCAAGACTCCTATCTACGATCTCCACTGCAACAAACAGTACGTCCATCTAATCTAAAGGGACGTTATGTATTGCTATACAGTGCATCAGTATATTTGTTGTAATAAAAGTGTTTTCTGCTTTCCACAGTATCCTTGTCGTGAGTCTACAAGAGAAGATTGCAGCGTTTGACAGCTGCACCTTCACCAAGAAGTTCTTTGTTACAAGTAATGTCTTTAAACACTACTTTTTTTCCCCTGCGTAGTAGTTTTCTCTGCAAACTCATGCAGCTCACGAGCCATTTAATGTAGGGCGTCTACTCCAGTGGACGGTTATTCAAACTGAATTAAAGTAAAAGTAAAACCGCATTTTTAACAATAATTATTCAAAATTTTTCTGTGTGTGTATGTGTGTGTATGTGTTAACGTGTGTTTATGTCTGATTAAGTGGAGACACCACGAGAAAAAAAACCTAATGTTTTCATGCAGTGATTCATTTTGAGAGGTGAGGCTGTTTTGCTTCCATATCATGACTTCTTTCAGATTAATAAGAGAAAAACATCCAAGATATACATTTAGGTGTTTGTTTCACTCCATTTTATCCTATTGTGCACATTACACAATAGACAAATGTAAGTAATAAAGTGGGGAGATGTTATGGTGATGCCTATTATTTAAATGTTTTGATATATTTTACATAGTTTACTTATATCTATATATGTGTTATTTATTTATTTTTGATCGTGGTCTGCAGTAATTTTCTCTCTTACTCTGATTCAGAAATATCTCCTTCAGTAGGACTTACATTCACCAAACTTTCCAGTTTAGTTCCTATAATTTCTATATTCTGAAGTTTTTTGCATAAGCGTGTGTTCAAATATAATTAAAAGAATTATAGAACAATTTATTCCTGAAAACACAGTGACACTTGTTGTTCCTGTTTCTTTCTGGCTGTCAACAGTGTTCTCTAATTTATGAAGTGATGAAACGAGACCTGGCCCTAATTTGTCAGCTGAACCAAGAATTTTCAACCCAACTTTATCCAGTGGTCAGATTTCTGTTCTGCAAGTGTGTGCAAATTAGCAAATATTTAATGAGATAATATCTCATTTGCTTGATAAAACATGCATTTTCAGAAATGTTGGAGTACAAAAAGAAGTTTCCTAATGTATGTAACCAGCTGTTAGTTTTTTTAACCTTACTTACCTGGGGTATTTTGCCTCAAAGTACGTTTTAAACCTTAAGGGCATGGTGCCCATTAAAATAACCCATTGCGTATCTCACTCAAAATAATAGATATTGAAAAAGAAAAAAAAAAAATCCAACTGGACATGTTTTGAGTCCTATTTGGGAGGACTGCAACAACTTTATATGATTTATGCATGAAAGGGCAACTAGTTAACATTCATCTTTTAGGGGTTTTATTGCTTCTTAAAAATGTTTTAACCTGCTACTTAATCAAAAAAGGAAGGTATGTTTTAACAGCTTTCAGCTATCGGTTGCTATTCCCATCAGCGAGGGGTATGATTTAATATAGATTGTTATCACATGTGAGTTACTGTTTCTTTGCTTATGGAAGTATGTATTCAGGAAATGTTGGACTAAACCCCTCATCTGTACCGTATGCTGCAGAACCAACAAACAGCGCCAGTCACATGAGGTGTATATGTTTTTACCAATAACTCCAAACGTGACCAGTGATCCTCTCACGCCAGCATCATACAACCTAAACACAAAGCACGTCATTGCCTCTAATGCAACTGCTGTAGTGCATTGGTCCCAGGTTTTGCATTGTGACTAAGCCGTTTGTATCAAAGCATGATGTGCGGCCCCCCACTTGAAGCTCAGCACAGGAAAACTGTTTACAGCAAAGCTCTTGCAGGCTCTTGGCTGTACCTGCCATGTCTGCTCAGCGAGGCCGTGAAAGAAAGGCCAGACTGTATTACAAGGCCATTGCTGTCGACTTAAGTCATTGACTGGAGTAAACTGACCTTACTGGCTGGCTTTAATGTGTCTCCTCGTTGTCTGCCTGCCTTCCCTATCAGCGTCTGGGCAACAGGAAACCAAACATGCTCAATAGTTATTAATCGTTTCTGAATGCAGGGGCCTCCTCTTCATAACGTTGTTTGGTCTGTTTGGACCATAAAAGCAGTAAACAAAGGGTCCTGTGATGTGCAGAGATGGGCCATTTTACCACTGTATGTCCGCTTCTTCTTCAGAGATATGATGGCGGACATGTCATGTTTTTACGAGCACTTAGTGTTTGTTCCATGTTTACGTTCTTGCTTTGCATTTAGGCTGGGATTTATTGGCCACCAGCAACACACTCTTTTTCTCTTTTCTTCTTTCGGTTTCATGACTTTTCTAGCTTTGATCTAACGTGATCATGGTTTGGTACTTTCTGTGTTTTTGCAAAATAATTGCCTGGCAGCTGGTTCTACATTAGCTCAATGTAATAGTCGCAGTAATTGCTGTGCTCATTTCTTTGAATTCGACTAACTATTATCACTACTCTGTTATTACTACTGTTTAGCCTTTTTGTTTTTATGCTCCTTTTGCTCATTTTAAACTATAAAAAAAATCACATAATTTTCCTCTTTAATAAGATTTCACCACAAAACTAACTGTTTGAACCATGAGCTTCAACATGTGAGGCATGCTGTAATTGACTTATACTTCACTAAAAAAAGACAAGAAGCCTTCTGTCTGGGGCTGTATTAGTCCAGCCAACAACAACTGCTCCACACAAAGCATGGATGGCATCAGGTGTAGGACGCCACAGTTATGATGTGGATCCTGGATAAAACCTGAGAAGTGTGATCAGCGCTTGTAAAAGGTGCATGAGAGCATTGCTGCATTTTGTAGCATCGCTGTGTGATCAATATTGAACAGAGAACTATGACACAACACCAGAATAGCACTTGGTTATCAGTGTTTATATTGTTTGACTATGTTCAAAAAACATTCTCAAAATCATACACAGTTGGTGGTTAGCACCGTTGCCTCTCAGCAAGAAGGTCGCCGGTCCGCAATCTTTCTG